AGGGACAATTTTGGTACCAAAGTCAAAAGTTGAGGGACCAAAATGGTACTTAAACCTTATTTGAAACATTATGACATTAAAACATACTTGAATATGAAGGTAACAAAATAATCCCTTAAGCAATATGAAATATTGCATTAAAAGCATATTTGACTTGATAATCCCAAAAAAAGCTGGGAGTTTATATGGATTGACTATGGATTTTTTTACAATTAAATTTGTTGATTATCAATCTAAAGGAATTATGTTCCCAGTATTAGGGAGAGAGAAATAAATATTGGGGGGTAGGAGATAATTTAAGATGGATCTTCCAAGATCCTTAAATAAATTAATATGAATCAAAATTCCAAAATTTTTTACTATCAATTGATAGAAGCATCTATTAACAAAATGAAAGTAATAAATCATATAACTAAGCTTTAAGTACTCTTGCTTGTATTAATATTCCTATTAGAAAAGTTACTAAAATATTAGTAAATGAGTATATTATGTTAACGTTAGAAGTGTGTTAGAACAAATGATTCTAAGAATAAAAATCCAAAAATGAAGAGAAAGTATAGGTAGAATGTTAATATTGTTGAAATCATAAAACTCCTAAAGAGTTCTTGAGAAAATAACCCTAAGAAAGGATTTAAGTACTTGAAAATAATAAGAATGTTAAAATTATAGACAATGATGGAATTTCTATAAATTATGGTTCTCCTAAAAGAGTATGGAACCGAAAGAAAATTGTAATTGATAAGAAATTTTTGCATATGCAATTGTGGTGGATATAGTTAATGAAAATGAGGATCTTGGATCAAATTCTTTGAAAATTGTAGATAAAAAAATGATTGGCCAATATGAAAAGAGATGATTCAAATAGAATTAAAATCACAATAATTACGTGGTGTTTTTAGATCAATATTCCAAATATATAATTAAATAATGTCTATTAAATTTATTTAAGTGGCAAGCTAACAAATTCACTTTACAACATTATTGGCTTCTAAAACTTTGAGCAGTTAAGACACTAAATTGGCATAAATTGTTTGATTATGAATACACATTGAATTCAAGGGACTATTATATGCATTGTACTCCTTTTCCCTTCACCATGGTTTTTTTTTTTTTCCACCAAGTTTTTTCCTACAAAGTTTTTAATGAGATAGTTTAATAAGCATATAATAAAAGATGAACATCCAATGGGGAGTGTTATGAATCAAATTATTGTAGTTGTTCACTTTGTTCATCCTTTTACCTCTCCACTTTTCACGACATTTACACACCATTTACATACCAAATAATGGTATAACTTTGATTACCTTCATGCAATTACAATGGTGATTTACACTCCATTATGCTAGGCATTTAGATGGTAATAATGAGATTCCTTCTAACCCCTTCATTAGTAAGAAATTAATCCTTATAACCTTCCATTAGTGGGTATTTATTTCTTATAACTCCTATCACCTATTGGGCCCTATATATAAGGCTTGTACTCTTGGAAATGTATAGAGAACAAATAGAGAACAAATGGAGAACAAATGAAAAACAAATGGAGAAAAAAGAAATAAAAATATAATACATCTTATATTGTCTCACTTTGTCTAATTTTTCTTCTTCTAATTGATTCTTTCTTCATTTTACAACATAAATGTCAATTTAACCAAATTTTTGTTATCTGCTTGATGCATGCCTGTTTCACTTGTCAACTTGTAACTGAATACAATTATGGCTACTTATAATTTTGTTAAAATTATCTAGAAATTATATAGTTTCACTAATATTTTGTTTGTTTATAGTTTTTTTCTCAAATAATTAGTTATAAAGTATGAAAATATCATTTTATAAAATTGATTATAATTTGTTAAATAAGAAATATAAATTATTAACTATTTTAACTGTTAAAGTAAAAAAAAAAAACTAAATGCCCATAACCAGATCCCTTGTAAATCAAAGAAAAAGCTAGTAGTATTGAAGATTAAAGACACTACTTACCAAAAAAAAAAAAGAAAAGGGACCCCTTGAGCTTAATTGTCTATGGCATGCCTTCCAATTGAAAGCCTTGACAGGATAGGAAAACATATGTGTTTGAACCTTTGAGTTGTGATTTCAAATTTGAGTCTCATTTCATATTAATTTTTTAATTTAATTTAGAGATTGATTTTTTTTTTTTATTAACTTCTCATATATGAAACTCACATCAGGTCTCTGATTAAGGTAGAGTTGATTCATGTTGAATCCTGTGAAAGGAAAGCTCTCTTAGCATATATTTTTACATTTATAAGAGGAATTAAATTTCTTCCACTTGGATTAACAAGTCATTGGTAATTTAGAAATTGATTTATATACTGTAAGAACATGATTTATAAACAACTTTTTTGTATCACTTTTATGTACAATTTTATGTGTTATTTAAATAATTAACTCTTTTTATTCATTTGAAACTTATTATATTAAATGTATTCATTCATTTAATAATTTCATTTAATGATATGTAAAAATTATATAAAAAATAATATAAAAAATTACCTTTATATTACCGCTCATATACTGTAAGTCTTTGTTAAGATTTTGCATTAGCTTTATTTTTCCATAAAATAAAAAATAAAAAAAAATAAAAAAAAACACTCCTTATCTCCGAATATATAAAATAGAACGCACATTCCCTAACTGGCCGAAAAGGATTCCATTGCGTTGACCTGATCGGATAGTATAATATTGGCATTGGATCAGCACCGACTTGCTATTGAATTGTCGAACAAATCCCAAACAGCAATTTATACACATCACAATTCACAAAACTTATCAGCAAAAAATACTTATGGCTCAAGTGGCAAGAAGAATGTGGACGTGCTTAAATATTCCTCCCAAATTCTTGCTTTTTCTCTACAGAAAAAGTGCTTGGAAACATTATCCTGACTTAAAAAGGTAACCACTAGCCAGCGATATGTTTAAGATTATGGGGTAATTTCCTTTGAGAGCCCCACTAATAAAGAGGATTGTGTAATTATTAAAGGAACTCATCTTAATCCTAAATGTAGGAAAAGTCCATTAGTGCATAACCGACTTTTAATATTCTTTTTCTTTACTTGGATTCCTCTGGTAGAATTTGCAGGTAAGATTGAACCTCCAATATCTTTAATACATTGCCTTCTGTCCATTATACCAAGGGGGTGTTTGCGTTTTTTTTTTTTTTTTACAATGAAAACATGGATTAGAAATTAGTATCTGCTTAGATCATAATTTGAACCAAAGAAGTAAGTGAACTCTACCTGCTACTTGTTGAGTAGCGTGACCCATCCACTGAATCACATGAGAGAGTTCGTTATTTTTTTCTTTTATCTTATAATAATAAATGTATTTTGATTTTATTTTAATATTAAGAATTTAGAGGATAATTTTTATTTTTTATTTACATTACCTTTAAAAAAACAAAAATAATGAAATTTAAATCATGATAAATTAAATAATTAAAATTAAAATATAATAATAAGATTAAATTAAAAAAATATTTATGTTCTTTAAATATAGAATAATAACTACTAATTAGAAGGAAGTATTAAATAGTCACGGTGCATTCCCATTGATTTGAACGGGGTCAAGAAGAGGATTTTTCGGATTTGTAAGAGGTGTGAATTTTAAAACGATGAGATTTTGTGTTTATATAGAAATTCAAGAATTCTCCCCTTCTTAGTCCTATATTTGTTGGATGGGGACAACTCCCAAATTTAATGTGTTTAGCCTCATCTTATAATTACTATATAATTTAAATTATACATTTTTTT